TTGGAAACAGTGCAGAACTCAGGAAGAAAGAAAAAAACATGTTTCTGACACTCACGTGCAGTGGTCGGAAATGCTAAGATTGATTTATTTCAACCCGATAAGACATCTTATTGTCGATCCAATGCACTGTTTATTACTGGGGATTGCTTATTGGATCGTAAAGAAATTATGGATAGATAGCGGAAAAATCACTAAAAAGGACCTTGAATTATTAATGGAAAGAAGAGCAAATGCTCTTAAAGTACCAGCGGATATCGGAAGGATTCTGTATAAAATAGCAACTGGGAAAGGGTTTTCTGGATTTACGGCTGATCAATGGAAATCGTTTATTTTAATTTACGCGACTCCATTGATGTGGGATCTTCTAGATACTTCCGATCGTGAAATATTAGCAAATTTTGTAAGAGCTTGCTCTTTGCTTGTCTGTCGAATTATCGCCACCAATGCATTGCGCGAAGCTCATAGCCGATTGCTTCAAGTAGCTCGTTTAATTAAAACGTATTACGGAAAAGAGATGATAACTCCAAACATCCATTTATCACTCCATATTGTCGATTGTTGCCATGATTATGGCCCATTATATTCTTTCTGGTGTTACTCGTTTGAAAGAATGAACTGATTATTAGGTAAATATATATATAAATCGGTATAAGTTATCGGTATAAGTTAAATTTAATAAATGGTATAAATGAATTAATTTATTTATCATCTTGCTGTAGGTTCTTTTCCAAATAGTAAGCGAGCTATTGAACTAGAATTGATGCGAATCATCACGCAAAATTCACGGCTAAATTGCCTAATATCCGCCTAATCTGATAATCCAAAATTGATGGAAGCATTATCTCTGGTACAAAATAGGCCAACTACTGGAAGTTTAGCGGCTTACGATGGGTTCGATTTTGCTGAACTTTAAGTTATAAATAATAATAAACTACTGTATGCAGATAATAATATAATATAAGAAAAAAAAAAGGGTTTTTTTTAGCCGGTCTAAACAAAAACAACAAAGGTTACACAAGATGATAAACGAAGTTACACGCGTAGTAAGAATGGAAGGAAGGGAAAAATGCCAAGCTCTGGGCAATCTCCACAAGAATAATCAGGACAATAACGCGTCCTCAATACAATACACAAGTGATGAATGGTCACAACAACAAAAACAAAAAGAATATTTAGTGGGTGGTGAAGCAGACAATGATATACACCCAGAAACAAATGAAATAACGTTTGAAAAGAGGGATTTCTGAAAGGATCAAGACAACATAGAAGAAGTAGTCGAGTCTTTGACAAACGAAGAAAGTATTAACGCATTCTTAGCAAGACAAAGGCTAAGATTTGTTAAGGGAAATTGAATGACCAAGAGACGAAAAATTCAATGTTTTTAGAAATGCACATTGCAGCACATAATATAGATGGGATTGCTAGTGTCCCGTCTATACAGAAACTTCATAATTTATTGGAATTTGGTAAAGAAAATAATATCGACACTATAGCTATATCAGAAACCAATACAGACTATCATCAGGAATATTTTATAAACCAGGACATTAAGTCAAAGGTCTATTCGATAATCTTTAGTGAACGTGATCAAAAAACTAAGGGATCGGGAACGGCACTTGTGATCTATAACAAATGGATGAAACATTATTACTCAGTAGTACGCATATCTCCATATATTCTAGTAGTTAAATTTTTATTCATACAGAGAGAAATATGGGTCTGGTCAATATACGCCGCTCCTAACAATCAAAACATGAGAAAAAATTTGATTGACGAATTGATAATAGCTATGGAGGGACATGACCGATCAGTTCACAACACCGTAGTATTGCATGTTGTTTTAGGAGATTTCAATGACACAATTAACAATAGGATAGACCGATCATCCAGTACCGGACAACCAGGATCTCAATTCTTAATACAACTATCGCAATTAGGTCTTTATGATGTGTGTAGAAGTCTTTATCCGGATGCAGAAATATTCACACATGAGAAATGGGATAAAAATAAAAGCAAATCAGGTCCTATTTCAAAATCGAGGATTGATCAAATCTGGATCACACATGAACCCGATGTGATTCCAGTAGAGTTTTCGGTGCATTCATCACAGATGATCACCAACAGTCATCATAGTATAATTTCAACAACACTAAACATATCAGGATTCATTAGGAATAATTTCCGGCATTGCGTCCCAGATCAATTACAGGATCCAGATTTAGGAGATAAACATCAAAACAAACGAATAGTAGATTTCAGTAAAATAACCAGCTGATATATATAGCTTCGGTATGATTATGTATTTTATAGCAACTAAAAGACAACCTTTTCAAAATCGTGCTCATGATCACTATCTAGCATTAGATATATGTAAGGACAATACAAGACCTAGTATAAATGATTTAGAAGTACCAGAATGTTATATTGATTTAATGAAAAGATGTTGGGATCCAGATCCGAAGAATAGGCCAAATGTTAAGGAAACATGTGATTTGATTGAATTATTTCATAAGTCATATACAACTAAATATAGTAAATCTCCTGAAATCAAACAACAATTCGAAGAAGTAGAAAAGCATAGAAAATCAAATCTTCCAACTAAATCTCAAATCAAGAAAATCAGAAAACTAAAAAAGCAAAAAGAAGTTCTGGAACAGCATGAAGAAGAAAATTCTACACCTAATAAAAATGATGAAAATGATGAATATGATGAATATGACGAAAATGATCAATCAGATACTCATCCACAAGCTATTTATACGTCTAGATTACTTAATAATTCATTTATTTCTGAAGGTTTAGACATGGCAATTTGATAAAGCAAATGATGTTTATAATAGGTACGGTATATTTTCCATTTTCATTTGCTTTCTTGTTTGGATGGTTTAATGATGGACGCGAATATCTTGCGATCGTTAAATTTATGTTTATCCTTTGCATGAACCTGTTGCTTTTACTTTTTCTTCTTAACAATACCATTTTCTTATAGCTGGAATAATGGCGATGACATTTGATGACGCATTTGTCAGTATCATAGGTTTAAGGTAGAGTATACTCGCTTAATAGTTTTGCATTTCGTTATAATAAACTAATCGATTTTTTTTTCGCGATGGATTTTGTTAATTTTTGGTTATTAGAACTTGAGAATATAGAAATTGCTTTCCCTTCTTATTAATTCCTGATTTTTCTTGCTTTATCTTCTTATTCTTTTTGCTTTTTATTTCTAAACTTTCTTTTATTTATCTTTAGCTTTTTATCAATTTTTTTTTCATTTTATTTAAATATTAAATTTAAGGTAACAATTTGTCTAAATTTTTTATTAAAATTCTATTTTGTTTAATAAATACTGAGTGATTTAACCGTACTTTTGGGATTGGCAAAGGCGATCAAAAGTCTTATATTATATAAAGTTCTTAAATTGTGATCTATCAATTATTTTAAATTACATAATAAACCGTATGATTATTAATGATACTCATTTAAAAATAACAAGTTATAAACCAAGATAAATTATCGACGATTTATAGAGGACTATAACATCATCGAAATCATCTCTTTGTCATCGATAGCATGTGAAATTACAGATTAAGGATGTCGGTTCTCAATTATAATCACATGACAAAATATCAACCAATCAAGCCAAACTGACAAATTTATCATACAATGGTCAGCTGCTCTTGCACAAATGGTCAGCATATCTTTTATTCATATATATATTCACATATGGGCACACTTCATCTGTATAACTTCATCGTTTTTGGTTTAAGAGGTTAGAATTTAAAGATATAGAAAATCACATGATAATTTATTACAATCAATATGGCAAATCGTAACACTAATTTTCTGTGTAATGTAAACTTATGTAATACTTAATGTGAAAGGATGAAACTTATATGGTTAGAAAGCCACGAACCAGGAGAATACTTTTTAAACTTAAAAAGTCATATTATTTACAGCCCTTTTTTAAAAACCTTCGTATGAAGTTGCGAATGGGCTTTTTATTTTGCGAATGGGCAAATAGGATTTTTATTGGCTCCCTGTTTACTGGCGTCGACTCATTAGAAAAACTCGTAATACCCTAGTATGTTTTATTGAAAGCGTTGCAATTTGCAAAATTTATTTAATTATTCGTATATATTTAATTTTAAATAAAAAATTAATGTATTCTGAAGAAAGAAATATTTTGTACAAATTATTANCTGTCTCTTATACACATCTAGATGTGTATAAGAGACAGGCTCATAACTCGCGAGCCAGCTCGAATGAGCTGTATCAAAGCTCGGCTTGAATGAGCCGAGCCAAATTTATTACGAGCCGCGGCTCAGCTCGGCTCGATATACCTAGCTCGCGAGCCGGCTCGAGCTGGACTGGCTCGTGCGGAGCACTACATTTGGTGAAGAATAGTAAAGTGAGATTTTTTGTTCTACGTAACCACGTACTATCAAATCTGCAAGCATATAGCCTGCCAATTCTTTTGGTTTTCCAAATTTTGGTTTTCGGCCGCTTTTATATACTTGCAACTCAGTCAAGCCTAATTCTCGAATTTTTTTAGTATTCGATTTACAAAAAACATCCACTATATCATCTTCAGTAATTTCACAATTATTACTATAATTCATTTCTTCAACAGTATCTAATAAATGAAGAATATCCTCTACACAATTTTCATAAGTAGGTTGTTCTTTAATCCGATTTTTACAATTATCACATTTCAAACAAGGAGAAGGAACATTATCTCCATTCCAAAGATAATAACGATTAATTATTTGACTTCTGCATTCATATTGGTTTCGGCAAAATAAAAGAACTTCGTGAATTTTGTGTACACTGATATCAAGGTAAAGTTTTCGTTCACGTTCTTGATCAGTCATATTTTGTATATCAAAACAACTAGTTTTAAATATACAATAATAAAGTTTTAATTCTCTCTTTATTTATGTAAAATAGTACAACTTTTAAATTTGTAATAGATAGTATTTGATAAAATTTACTTAAGCAACTCACGTTTCTCGATTTTCAGCCAAAATTCCAAAGTTTGTTCTTAGATCTTTCTTTATTGAATAAAACATCACACTTCTGGCTTCATTACCATCACGTCCTGCTCGTCCAATTTCTTGTATCAAATTTGCTATATACAAAAAAAAAATATGAGAAGGTGTGTAAAATAATAATTATAACATAATTACTTACTCATATTTAAAGTAGCTACACAATGTACTATTAGGTAAACATCGGAAGAATTGATACCCATGCCAAATGCATTGGTCCCAATCATTATTTGAATTTTACCATCTTTCCAATGCGATATAATGCTTTGACGTTGCTCATCTCCTATTCCTCCATGATACACGCCCAAATTTTTATCTGGTAATAGTGGTTGCAATGTCGCAAAAAGATCATCACACCCTAATTGTGTTGCACAATAAATAATAATTCTTCCTCTTTCATGCTTCTTAATTAAACTTATAAGATCATTTGAAAAGATTTCACGATTATCTCTTCTTTTATAAACTTCTATAGTTATTTTTTTGCGTTCAAAAGAAGAACCCCGAATCATAGCAAAATTTTCTGATGGTATTTCAAGAGATGTGTTGATATCTTGGGCGTCTTTATATGTGCACGTAGCAGTTAAAAGCATAATAGGGACTATAGGCCAATTTTTTTTCAATAGTCCTAAATTTTTCCACGATTCTCTATTAAAAAAGAATTATTAAATTTAATTATCACTAAATTAAGCAAGCTATTTTCGTAAGTAACTTACCTAAAATTACCATAATCTAGAATACAATGAGCTTCATCAATCACAAAACGCACTTTTGCTTTACTATACATATTACTAATAAAATTTTGAAATTCTTTATTTAAGCAAAGTTTCTTAGTAGTGATGAATAATATTTTTGTAAAACCAAGGGCAATCTCTTCAAATATCTTTTCTTGTTCGCTTCTACCTTGTATTGTGTTTGCATAAATTGAAGCACATGGTATACCAATTTGTATTAATTCTCGCTATTAAAATAAAATGTAATTATGTAAATAATAATTTAATAATTTGCAACGAACTACTGATAAATGAGATAAACGATTACTTACTTTCTGATCTTCCATCAAAGCTTTTAACGGGCTAATAACTATTGTTATTCCTTCAAAAATTAGTGCGCAAATTACATAACACAATGTCTTTCCTCTTCCTGTTTTGATTGATACAAGTGTATCTTTGCCATTTAAATATGACTCTATAGCCTCAAGTTGTCCTTCACGCAAATGATCGTATCCAAACACTTTTTTCACAGCTAATTTTATTAACTCCTTTAACTCCAAAATATTTTTCTCGCCACTAGGAGTATAATTTTTATTCAGCAAGCGTTCCCACCAACCTGCTAAGACATAAAAGGAGCACAAAGAACATAAACCAGAAACAGTTTTCTTTCGAAATGAAGAACACCCTTGGCACTTAATAATTACATTAAAATCTGTAATTAATTTTGCAAAGGAAGGATAAAATGAATTTGCGCGTATTCTTTCTTCTGCTTTGTACTTGTAAGGAATCAATTCCTATATGCAAAGGTATACTATATTAAAAAATAGATAAATATTACATTTTAAATATATTTTTAGCCAACCTGGCTAAAATCAAATCCTTGCAATTCTTGCTGATCATTAGCATAATTCACAGCACGTTCTTGATTTCGTTTATCTATAACATTTCGATTATGATGTAATTGACCTTGACGTTGTCTAACCAACTTGCTTATATTATACTGATCATTTGTACTGAATTTATTCACTTTAGCAGCCTTACGCACACCTTCCATCATACAATCAAGCCCTTCATTGTTATCTATAACAGCTAAAGCATATCGTGCTTTATAAGAAGCCCAAAAATCAATTCTCTTATCAACAAATCTCAAGATTTTTCGGTTAAAAGCTTCATTATAGGCTGTTCGGTTACAAGTAACAAGACTTTGTTGAATAGGAAGCTTAAAAATCGTTAAAAGCATTTTTCTAAATCCTTCAATCTCCATTTCTGTAAAAGATTGTAATGTTGGAGTTTGCAATTGTAGCTCTTCATTTTCCTTATACCAACAAACTTCTTTCTAGCAAAGATCATGATTATTTAGCAGATGTTGGATTAAACCTTCTACTTGGATGTAACGCAATTCTTCATTAGTTGGTGTATTTGGATCATCATTTTTTTTTCGCAAGCCAGCAGTAAATACACATCCATTAAAATATCTCATTATATGCTGCTCAAATCTGTGATAACGAGCATATTGTTTTTTTACTATTGCAAAATAATAAAAAGTAAATAGAACGATAATAATATTTGACTTTTAATAGATTAATAAATAAACAATAACAAACATAAGTTTTTTCTAATATTTTTGCTTGCATGTTTAAGGTCCGCATAAATTTCTGATACAATAGGAACATTGGCTAAAGTTTTGTTGGAATCTAAATCTCCATCAATACAAACTTCAAGTAAAAGGTCAGACTTTTCTAATACTGGAATTATCTGTTCCAAAAGTGTGATTAAAATTGTTTGTTCCATTTGGCGATAACTGGCGTCAAAATTGCCTTTATGTACCACAACTTTTTCCTCTGAAGTTCCATCTTTTCCTTTTTTAGTGATGACACGAGACTTTTCTACTACATGAAAAGCAACAACAGCTTTGTGCCCGTAATCTTATGAAAATAAAAATAAAATTAATCAAGATTAATAAAAAATCAAATTTGATTTTATATAAATTTACCTTCAAGATCTTCCAAATAAATAAATTCTCCACTAGCTTGTTTTGCATTGCGAGAATGGGACCAAGAGCAGTCAAATCCAATAGTTAAAGCTTTTTTTCCTTTTGCAACAGTATGAGTTATAGCAGCATTTAACGCCTGTTTAGCAGATTCTTCAGCTTTTAATATAAGAGTAGGAAACATACGATATTGATATTGATGATAGGAACTCTTACAACTCTGAGCAGTAATACCCATAACCGCCAATGCAGTTTGCATAGTATAATGATTCATTCCACCTGCTAAAGTTGATGCCGCAACTATATGTGAAAAATTGGTTCCTTTAGATTGATTAGAATATGAATCTATCGTACCACATAGCTGACAATCTACGTCAATTGTAACATTAAACCCAACACAAGATACATGATATGATTTATTTTGAAAATTTGTATTATAACAATGACTACAGGGATGCAAAAGTACTAAAGAAAAGTATTGTTCTGTACTAATTAATATCGTTGATCCCAATTTTTTTTCATTTAAAATATTATCCACAGCTTCTTTTATTCTTTCAGATTTTTCATTTAAATCAATTTTATTATTAAAATCAGAATTTTCATTTTGAAGTTGATCAATTTTAGTTTTTAGCCGTTTGATATTGCGATTAGCGTTATAATATGTTGATTTGTATTTTTCGTGCATTACCATAAGGGCTTGTGTAAATTTTGGAGAAAGAATTTTTCCACTTTCTTCCAATTTAATTCCATGAACAATTGAATCTTTTTCATTAAGCTGCTCAAGTTCAGAACTTTTTCGTTTAAGACTACGGACTAGAGTCTCTTCTTTTGAAGTTGATAGTGTAGGAGATTGAAAATTTAAATTTTGACAAGAAAAACGATGGGAAAATACCTTATGAACTGTATTTTGCAACATTGCTACAATGGTATGATCATTAAACCCTAAAACTGAGGCAAGTGAAATATTTTTTATATTATACTGTTTTATCATTAGATAAAATCCTAATGTTTCCCGACCTTGAGCATTACATTTAGTAAATGTAAAGTCTTCACCAAATTCTTGCCAAAAAAATTGCAAAGATTCTCCATTTCTCTCAATAGAAAGTTTAAAAAAAAAACCACCTAAAGAAGTATAAATGATATAACCTGGCAATAATGGAACCCATGATTTTTCGTTAAGAATATTATTTTGCAAATGTATATAACCAACATTTATATTTTTTTGCCGAGTTTTTTCAAGTTCATTATGGAAGTTTTTGGGTATAATAAATTCTGACAGTTCTTTATGAAGTGGTAATACTTCGAATTTAGAAGAAAAGTCAATAACAAACCAGCTTCTATTTATTCTTTTATAACTTTGATATTTAGAAGGATTTTTTTGGACGATAAGGTCATACCAGTTATGTGTCATATTGCTATATGTCTATATAAAAGTGTATAGGATAGATCGATAAACCTGTTTGAAAACTTGTTTTTTCAGACGCGTTAATTGAGTTGATACGTGTACCCGGTTTTCAGAACCTCATGTGATCAACAAAAATTTGCCACTGCGTATATATAAAAAATGATCGACATATACTATACCTTTAATTTAAATTATTTCTTTTGTTTTACTTGTTAAAAATTTCAATGCACTTAAATCATTTTTTTTTTTTAATATTATAGAGCAGAAAATTCATGGTACGATAAATTTGATTCATAAAATTTGTAAAAAAAAATATATATTAAATCATGTTATGTGCTCTTTTAGGTAATATAAGCTTCAGCTATTGAACCTAAAGACATGCTAGATAAAACACAGGCAAAATTTAAATTTGTCGTACTTGGTCTTTTAATTAAAATTTATTTAATCATTTATATTTACAATTGTTATAGTTGGAGTTACCATTTGGACTTCAAAACCTCGGTAATACTGGTTATATGAATTCAACCTTACAATGTCTTCGAGTCATTCCAGAAATGCAGGAATCTCTTAATAGGTAAACATAATTTACGTAAATAATGTACTGTAAATAATGAATGTAAATAATGTAACAATTTACTAAAAAATAATTGATAATCAACAATTATCCATATTTTTAATTTTTTTTTTCGGTACGATCAAATCATTATATTTTACATAGGTTTACAAGTGGATCTTCTGTTGCTGATAAACTTACAATATCTTTACGTGATCTTTATAATAATTTAAATCAAGCTACTGAAAGTGTTGTTCCATTACATTTTTTACAGGTAATCCGATGAATTATTATCTTTATTTTTTGAAGGAATTTTATTAATGTTTATATATAATATATTTATATTTATATTTAGTTATTTAGAAGTGTTTTCCCTCAATTTGCTCAAAATACTGCTGATGGTTTTATGCAGCAAGATGCCGAAGAATGTTGGACTCAAATTATATCTATTCTAAAGCAAGCAAATATTCCTATACCAAGTCAACATTCTTCAGATGGTGAAAAAGTTTCATCTTCAACAGAAGAATCATTTATTGATCATTATATGACAGGCGAATTTACTTCAACGTAAATATATTTTTTATTTTTAAAATAATTTATTATAATTAAATTCATATTATAAATAATTAATTAATTTTTGTAGTCTTAAATGTCTTGAAGCCCCTGAAGAAGGAGAGATTGTTATAAAAGAAAATTTTACGAAATTAAACTGCCATATCTCAATATTAGTAAATTATGTGCAACATGGAATTATGATGGTACAGGATTTAAATCATCTATAATATGGTCTTTTTTATAAAAATCTTTAATTTATTCATATATTTATCTAGGGTTTAGATGAAAAGATCGAAAAAAATTCTCCTACATTAAGAAGAATGGCGATCTATGATAAAACTACACGTATAAGTCAGTTACCATCATATCTTACAGTA